TTATCCTGATTAAACAACAGAGAGCACATAAATGATACTGTTTATGTAAAAATTTGATTTTGTGACCAGGACAATAAAAAGCTACTTTCGGCTGCTCCCATATTCACAAGGGATCGTCACGCAGTGCAGCTCTGTGTATTTGATTTAGGCAGATTTTTAATGCCGGATCTTCTTGTGAGAGCAAACAATGATCTTTTTTTAAGCAAATTTAAACCACTACACCATGACAAGCTTTATTGCTGATCACAAACGCAAAGTTTAAAGAGAACTAGAAAAATTTGCATTTCCTGCAAAAATGCTGTGTGGATGCTGTAACGCTGAAGCTGTCTGCTAAAAATAGCCGAAAAAGCTGAAAAGTAGCAAAACATTGTAATAACTTTGCAGAAGCATAAGAACTTAGCAAAAATGTAATTACTTAGCAGAACTGCAATAACGTAAAGAAAACATAATATTGGCAGAAATACAATAACATAGCAGAACTTAGCAGAAATATTGTAAATATTATATATATAAATATATTTAAAAAACCGATATATATGACATATTATATCTGTACTGGCAGCACGGTGGCATAATGGTTAGCACTGATGCCAAGAAGAAGAGCAAGAAGGTCCTGAGTTTGACTCCACCATCTCCACCCACACACACACACAACCCTGATAAGCGGAAAAGGATGGATGGACTTATGTACTGAGTTTATGAAGAGTTAGATGTGTCAAGGTGGGATGTTGTGACACACAGAAGTGTCACGACATTAGTTGCATGACCAAACTTATTTATTTAAGAATGTAGGTCAGCAAATGAGGAAACACAGAGATCACGGTGCGAGTTCTGTGTGTCACGGCACTTTCAACAGCATATAGTCAAAGAAAATGGAATAGAAGAATGACTAGTTTGGCCAAAATAAAAAATATATGCAGCTGTCCAAAAATACAATTTCATATGTGAAGCTAAAACTTCACAGCAAGTCGAATTTCATCAACACTGGTTGGAGAGTTTAGGAAAGTGGTCATCTGTAAGTTGGTCATTTCTGGTTTCAATTAGGAACCTTTGGTCTTAGTAGTAGCACATCATAAAACTGGAGCCAATCAACAATTTTTTAGCAACTCTTTAAAGGGAAGTGTTCAGAACCAAACAGGAAGTTGTTGCTATGTTTGTGCTCATTTGGTTTACTTTCACTGGTGCGCACACATCAAAAGGTGAAAAAGCGCAAGGTAAATAAACAGGGCTCTTGATATGAACACGTCCTTGCCTTAGAGAGTCTCAGCATCTTGTTCCATCTCCTTGCAGGTGTTAAACTCCGGTCCCAGCAGGTCAGTCGACACTGTGGTTGAAATTGCGCTGCCGAAGATCCTCACACCTTACCGTCACAGGCTGTTGCAAGTGGTCGATTGGCAGGTACATCAACACAAACATCGGCAGTGGGTTTGACACTTAGGTTCTGTGTGATTTCTCATGTGTCATGGCTGGAATTGAGGCGAAACAAGCCAAGAGCGTGAGAAAAGTTATTCGTAAATGGCGATAGAACAGACCGTACTAACACATGAATTCTCTCTGCAGTCGTCTCAAGGCGTGTGTTACATCAGTGACACAACAGTTTCAGTCATCGACGACTGCAACGCCCCTCAAGCTTCCTTCATCAAACAACTCATCTTCTTCTTTTCGCCCACCTCCACCCGTAGAATGGTACGCAAACACAGACACACACACACACACATAAAATGTAGTCTCTCAGATATAGCTTATGCAAGGGTGCAAACTTTAATTTTGTTCTCTATGTTCAGTTTTGTGGCCGCACCGATAAGGCTTGTGAGTGGTTAGTGTGTCGCCTTGGTAATTTGGAGGCGGGGAGAGAGGTCACCATCCAACTGGAAGCCAACCTGAATCCTGCCGTACTACGGCAAGCTCCGGTAACACACTCGCACGCAGGCGACTGATTTCACTGCATTTTGTCAGAGTTTCTGGTCCCTGATGCCTTTCTCTGTGTCTCAGGGTCGCCATGGGATCATGATCCTGGAAAGCATGGCAGTGATGTCATCACCTAAACAAGATAATAACACCATCCTGATCCAGGATCATCCTGTAGCACAGGTAAAACTCCCCCGCAGCCAATCAGAACACACTGCTGTGTGATCCGAGAGTCTGGGCTTCACAGTTGCCGTGGTGCAGCAGTGTTAAAGATGTATGTTGCACATTTCCAGGTATTGGTGGAAGCAGTTTTTACCCAGAAACCCTCAGCGATGGTGAAAATCTTCATTGTCGTTGTCAGTTTAGCCGTGGGGTTAACAATCCTGGCAGCTCTCATCTGGTGTCTGTGGAAGGTACTCAATTTTTGTCTTTCAACATAAACTCATTTTTGTGACAATTCTCCCAGCAATAACTGGTGTATTTTAACAATCTGCTATCTTGTAAAATATCATGGCTCAGTTCTGCGGTACTGACCAACCACATTATGTTACAGTTTAATGTTTGCAGTTGATACACAGGCTTCACATTTTCTTCTTCTCTTTGTCCGTCAGGCTGGATTCTTCAAGAGAGAATTACATCATAAGGAGGATGAGTTCAACAGAGACAGCTGGGACTTCGTTCCCAAGCACAGCAAAAGAGAAAGCACTACCTAACCCAGATTGTTCTCTCTGCCCGTGATCTGACCCCAAGGTGGAGTTCACATTGTACCTATGAAAGAGTGTTCATCATGCCTCGGTCTTACTGCAGCACTGTGAACGTCATCGGTCAGTGAAATCCGCCTACGCTCCGAGGGTTTGAGTCTAACACGTGACAGTGAACGCCTCCTGAATCTGACTGTGACCTTTTAAACTATTTTGCCGACATGCTTTCACAAAAAGGAACCAGAGAAATCCAAAGACCTGAAAGAAAAAAGACTGCAGCGTTCGATGGATAGAGGATTAATTAAAAGGGAAGTGAACCGGAAGTCATCAAATCTGAACCAATCGGAAAGCCTTGGAGCTTCCTGGGATTAATGACCTTCATTTTGACTCTTCTTTTTAGGAGAAAACAAAACAAAGAACATCACTTTCTATGATCTCAGGTGATTTAAACTTTGCCTCTGATTGGCTCGTAGCTCTGGGAAACCTTCCTTTTGTCTGTGTAACTTATTTTCTGAATTTTGTTCACCTGCTGACCAACACACACACACACACACACACACACACACACACACACACACACACACACACACACACACACACACACACACACACAAACACACAAAGAGCTAACTCACTGGCTGTGCTGCATCATTTGACGCCTGTGGCACACACTGGATGTCGTCCAGCTGGAGGAAGAAGGTGATGGCTGCTGGGATTTGCTGGTAACAGGGGTGATCACTCCGTTTTTTGGCTCCCACTATTTGTTTTGGGATGTGTCTCCTCTGCTTAAACCAGCAATTTTTTATGGCACAATCAGCTCATCTGATGCAAATCCACACATTTTTGTTTTGCACAAAGTTAGTTCACTGAGCCAGCAATGTTGACCACTGGCTGGATACTCCAACGTGGAGGACATGATCAGCTTATTAGCGCTATCTGTTTTTACCTACCCTCTTGCTTTTGCAAACTGCTTCACAATAGAGGAACCTGAGGGCAGTTTTGATGTAGGATTAATAGAAATTTCAGGGCAGAGGATTGAAAAATGAGCAGAATGCAGGATCTTTCTACAGTGAATCCTCCACTGTGCTGCCTCCTGGTGCTATGGTTCCTTAACCTCCCCGTGAGCCTGATTTCACACTTGTTTACAGTTTCTCTGATGCTTTGGAAGCCATTCAGGGAAGAAGAAAACAGGAAGCCATGCTGGTATGTGGAGGGAAAAACAATGAAAACAATGTACAGCCAGATCAGCACAAGTGCACCACGCAGGGCAGCTAGAAATGAGCATTTCTCCTCCATTCCTCCTCCTTTTGGGCCCAGGAGGGTCAAACACACAGAATCAAACATAATGAGGCATGAAGGCTCTTTTAATGTGGTAACAATCACAATGTGATGCCCATGAAAAAGTTTGTCCTGTGGGAGTTCTTTAAATTAAAATTAATACAAATAAAACAAGAGAGGAAAAAAACATAAACGTGATGCATTTTAAATAAAGCACATTTAAGGTTAACCACTCCTACCAGTGTGAGGTAGGTGGGAGGCCTAATGATCGACAACTACTTGAAATCACCATTTTCAAAAGAATGTTTATGGCCCGAGCTCTCAAAGTAAAGCTCCATCTTCTGAACAAACACATCACAAACACTAAGTAAACATGTTTGATGTGGTCAGTTTTCTCAGTCATACTTCCTAAAATTGACACCTGGGCTTTTTAAACTGATAACTTGTTGGTTCAAGTAATACATAAAAAAAAAAAGCGTTGTGTTAACGGTCTCCATTTAGACTGTTCACTTAGCTGCTGCCCTCCACTCCGGTGTGTGTTTAATACAAATGCACCTCACAGATTCACACCGAGTGTTTTAATATTTTAATAAGTGATTTCGATGTTCTTATGTGAAGTTGTTCTGCACTGGAGAGTCTCACTGCTTTTAGCAACACTTTTCTATTAAAATAAAGGATTTTCTATTTAAACAGCTTGATTTTTATACTTTATTGCAGTCGCAGTATGATTTGAGTCAAAATGAGAATCTACATGCATACATCAGGTCTGTTTTTGCTTCACCATCGTCTGCACAGATAGAAAAGTCACCTATTAATACCTTTATTCAAACATGAACCCTTTGGGAAGTGAAATAAACTGGATTTTGAACACAAATTAAACAAGTTTGTTCTCTGCCACAGAAACAAAAACTGGATGTAAAAAAGCAACATATGAAATTAAAGTCGCATGATCTGAGAGAAATGGGTAATGAAACTGTAGTAAATTGTAAACATTAAACCATTTTTATGTGCATTGGTCAGTTCTGCAGCTGATACATGAATAAAACTTACAAAATGTTCACATTATACTTTGATAAAAAGAATATAAAATTAATACAGCTTTAAAGTAAAGGAGCTTTTTTATTTTATTTATTTTTCCTCTATGAATATATCGTTAAAATCATGGGCGGATGACCAAAGTTTCAAATTGTGAGTTCAGAGTCTGTACAAAGAGCACTGTTGAGTCATTTTGGTTACCGTGGTGAGTGTCACACAGATCAGCGCCCCCTTGTTGTTCTCAGATGCAGCTGCAGGAGACAGATGACTCGGCCTCTTCCACCTCCTCGCCGTACAGAGTGATGAGTCTTGGGTGGACTCTGAATGCACCACAAAGACATACAGAAACACAGACACACAGTCAGGTGGATATTAAGGACCTGCAGACATGTTGCTATGGTTGCAGGAGCATGGCCTGATTGGTATTGATGTAAATGTCACAGAATGTAAAAAAACAAACACAGTGTGAGCTCCAGGACAAGGAGACCAGTCAGTCGCTTGGTACTGTGAAAAATGAAACCAATTGCATCGTGGATCAAAATCTGCTGGTACTTTTCTTCATTGTTTCATCAATTTTTGCACTACTGGATGAAAAGCAGCACCAAAACATGACAGAGCCTCCACCTGCTTTAGTGATGGCTGTTGACACTCACTGTTGTACCTCTCTCCTGACCTGCTCCACACACACACACACACAAAAAATTTGATCCAAATATTCAAATATGAATTCATCCCCCTATAATATCTATTGTCACTGATTTTTAATCCAGTTCTTGTGTAATTTGACACAACTCAGCCACGTTTCCATTCACGAAGAATGGCTTCTTAACAACCACACTTAAACTGAGACCATTTCAAATGAGGCTTCAGTGAGCAGCAGATGGATCGGATGCATTTTCAGGTCTTTGCTAAATTTTTCCATTTCTTTCGATGAATTTCAACATGACTTTCAGATCATGTTATCTGTTTTTTAGGCCGGTCACTTCTTCTTTTGTCTTCCGTTTGTCCAGTTTCCTCAAATCTTTTAAGAACTCACTGAACATCATACTGAGATTACGGAAGAGGATTAGGACGACTGGAAAAAAAAAAAAAGTAGGCTCGTCTTTTTTTCTTCTTTTTTTTTCAGAATTCTGACTTTAATTTCAGAATTCTGGGGAAAAAAAGTGCCTCATTTTTTCCAGTTTCCCTAATCCTCTTCCAATCATACCAAGTTTGTGGCTAATATGTCTTTGACAATCATCATGTTGGTGCAAAAATATTATTTCGTGCTAAGTTGTCTGTTATGTGTAGACACAACATGGGTTCAGCCCTTGTGTTAGGTCCCTTTTTATGTTTGAAAGATTCATAAATCACTGTTAATGTTTTAATAAACAAAACAAGATACCTCTGAAAAGGATGAGGTACAAGGACTGGACTGAAAATAAATGAAAGAGCAGCCATTGTCCAAAATAATATTAATAATAATTATCATTATTATTATCCTCTATATTTACCTCTTCTTGCTGTATTTTATTGATCTGAACTAAAAGGAAAAATAGTGCCTTGATCATCAATAATCAGTGCTTGAATTAATCAATTCAGAGTAATTCCTCTGTTCGTAATGATTGTATTATCTGGATATATTTTTAATAACGAAGGCGTGAGCGTCCCACCTGATGAGCACTTCATTAGCAATTTCCACCAGCTCTCCGTCGATGTTCCAGGGGAAGGTTGTTCCTTCTGCGTGGATGAAGGGTGTGGTTTTCAAGTCACCCTCCTCTTCACTCTCATCCTCAGAACAGCCAATCAGTGAGCAGGGGCGGATCTTCACTGCTGACACAGCATGCGTCTCCACGAAGGAGAAGTTGAACTGCACACAGATAATCAGTCAGAGCTTTGTCTGTGTGTGTGTGTGTGTGTGTGTGTGTGTGTGTGTGTGTGT